TACTGTTACTGCTTCTACTGTTGCTGCTGCTACTGTTACTGCTGCTACTGTTACTGCTGCTACTAAAATAAATTACACTACTATTTTGACTAATACTATTTCTACTTCAGCTATTATTACTACTGCTAATGTTACAAACAACAACTACTACTACTTTTTTTTTACTACTACAACTACTACTACTTTTTTTACTACTACAACTACTACTACTTTTTTTACTACTACAACTACTACTACTTTTTTTACTACTACAACTACTATTACTTTTTTTACTACTACAACAACAACTACTACTACTACTACTACTACTACTACTACTACTACTACTACTACTACTACTGCTGCTGCTACTACTACTACTACTACTACTACTACTACTATTACTACTACTACTACTACTACTACTACTACTACTACTACTGCTGCTGCTGCTGCTGCTGCTGCTGCTAATATAATAATTATAACTGCTACTGCCACATTCATGACCTCAACTGGTTTATCTCATAGACCCACTGGTTGTATCTCATAGGCCTACTGGTTGTATCTCATAGACCCACTGGTTGTATCTCATAGACCCACTGGTTGTATGTCATAGACCCACTGGTTGTATGTCATAGACCCACTGGTTGTATCTCATAGACCCACTGGTTGTATTTCATAGACCCACTGGTTGTATGTGATAGACCCACTGGTTGTATGTCATAGACCCACTGGTTGTATCTCATAGACCCAATGGTTGTATCTCATAGACCCACTGGTTGTATCTCATAGACCCACTGTTAGACCCACTGGTTGTATCTCATAGACCCACTGTTAGACCCACTGGTTGTATCTCATAGACCAACTGTTAGACCCACTGGTTGTATCTCATAGACCAACTGTTAGACCCACTGGTTGTATCTCATAGACCCACTGTTAGACCCACTGGTTGTATCTCATAGACCCACTGGTTGTATGTCATAGACCCACTGGTTGTATCTCATAGACCCACTGGTTGTATCTCATAGACCCACTGGTTGTATGTCATAGACCCACTGGTTGTATCTCATAGACCCACTGGTTGTATCTCATAGACCCACTGGTTGTATGTCATAGACCCACTGGTTGTATCTCATAGACCCACTGGTTGTATTTCATAGACGCACTGGTTGTATGTCATAGACCCACTGGTTGTATCTCATAGACCCACTGGTTGTATATCATAGAACCACTGGTTGTATCTCATAGACCCACTGGTTGTATCTCATAGACCCACTGGTTGTATGTCATAGACCTACTGGTTGTATGTCATAGACCCACTGGTTGTATGTCATAGACACACTGGTTGTATCTCATAGACCAACTGGTTGTATCTCATAGACCCACTGGTTGTATGTCATAGACCCACTGGTTGTATGTCATAGACCCACTGGTTGTATCTCATAGACCAACTGGTTGTATGTCATAGACCCACTGGTTGTATGTCATAGACCCACTGGTTGTATCTCATAGACCCACTGGTTGTATCTAATAGACCAACTGGTTGTATCTCATAGACCCACTGGTTGTATCTCATAGACTCACTGGTTGTATCTCATAGACCCACTGGTTGTATCTCATAGACCCAATGGTTGTATGTCATAGACCCACTGGTTGTATCTCATAGACCCACTGGTTGTATCTCATAGACCCACTGGTTGTATGTCATAGACCCACTGGTTGTATCTCATAGACCCACTGGTTGTATCTCATAGACCCACTGGTTGTATGTCATAGAACCACTGTTTGTATCTCATAGACCCACTGGTTGTATCTCATAGACCCACTGGTTGTATGTCATAGACCCACTGGTTGTATGTCATAGACACACTGGTTGTATCTCATAGACCAACTGGTTGTATCTCATAGACCCACTGGTTGTATCTCATAGACCCACTGTTAGACCCACTGGTTGTATCTCATAGACCCACTGGTTGTATGTCATAGACCCACTGTTAGACCAACTGGTTGTATCTCATAGACCCACTGGTTGTGTCTCATAGACCCACTGGTTGTATGTCATAGACCCACTGGTTGTATGTCATAGACCCACTGGTTGTATCTCATAGACCCACTGGTTGTATCTCATAGACCCACTGGTTGTATGTCATAGACTCACTGGTTGTATGTCATAGACCCACTGGTTGTATCTCATAGACCCACTGGTTGTATCTCATAGACCCACTGGTTGTATCTCATAGACCAACTGGTTGTATGTCATAGACCCACTGGTTGTATGTCATAGACCCACTGGTTGTATGTCATAGACCCACTGGTTGTATCTCATAGACCAACTGGTTGTATGTCATAGACCCACTGGTTGTATGTCATAGACACACTGGTTGTATCTCATAGACCAACTGGTTGTATCTCATAGACCCACTGGTTGTATCTCATAGACCCACTGTTAGACCCACTGGTTGTATCTCATAAACCCACTGGTTGTATGTCATAGACCCACTGTTAGACCAACTGGTTGTATCTCATAGACCCACTGGTTGTATCTCATAGACCCACTGGTTGTATGTCATAGACCCACTGGTTGTATGTCATAGACCCACTGGTTGTATCTCATAGACCCACTAGTACTGCTGCTACTAAAATAAATTACACTACTATTTTGACTAATACTATTTCTACTTCAGCTATTATTACTACTGCTAATGTTACAATCAACAACTACTACTACTTTTTTTTACTACTACAACTACTACTAATTTTTTTACTACTACAACTACTACTACTTTTTTTACTACTACAACTACTATTACTTTTTTTACTACTACAACAACAACTACTACTACTACTACTACTACTACTACTACTACTACTACTACTACTACTACTACTACTACTACTACTACTACTACTACTGCTGCTGCTACTACTACTACTACTACTACTACTACTACTACTATTACTACTACTACTACTACTACTACTACTACTACTACTACTACTGCTGCTGCTGCTGCTGCTGCTGCTGCTGCTGCTGCTGCTGCTGCTGCTAATATAATAATTATAACTGCTACTGCCACATTCATGACCTCAACTGGTTTATCTCATAGACCCACTGGTTGTATCTCATAGGCCTACTGGTTGTATCTCATAGACCCACTGGTTGTATCTCATAGACCCACTGGTTGTATGTCATAGACCCACTGGTTGTGTGTCATAGACCCACTGGTTGTATCTCATAGACCCACTGGTTGTATCTCATAGACCCACTGGTTGTATGTGATAGACCCACTGGTTGTATGTCATAGACCCACTGGTTGTATCTCATAGACCCAATGGTTGTATCTCATAGACCCACTGGTTGTATCTCATAGACCCACTGTTAGACCCACTGGTTGTATCTCATAGACCCACTGGTTGTATCTCATAGACCAACTGGTTATATGTCATAGACCCACTGGTTGTATGTCATAGACCAACTGGTTGTATGTCATAGACCCACTGGTTGTATGTCATAGACCCACTGGTTGTATGTCATAGACCCACTGGTTGTATGTCATAGACCCACTGGTTGTATGTCATAGACCCACTGGTTGTATGTCATAGACCCACTGGTTGTATCTCATAGACCCACTGGTTGTATCTCATAGACCAACTGGTTGTATCTCATAGACCAACTGGTTGTATCTCATAGACCCACTGGTTGTATCTCATAGACCCACTGGTTGTATGTCATAGACCCACTGGTTGTGTGTCATAGACCCACTGGTTGTATGTCATAGACCCACTGGTTGTATCCCATAGACCCACTGGTTGTATCTCATAGACCCACTGGTTGTATCTCATAGACCCACCTGTTACGTACAAGAGATCAGAATACCACTTACAACAAGATCCACTTGGCCCGCTAAAGTTGTTATCTGCAACCGTATATTCAAATTCTCGTCTTTTTGAGTTAGCCAGTAATCTACATCCAAGGACTCTGCGGGTAGAGCCAGTTAGGATATTTGGATGTTTTTGCTGTTTACCAGCTTGAGCTTGTGCGCGGACAGAAAAACCAGTATCCTCATGTTTTCTCACATTGCCAAGAGCAATGTATGGTGCACTGGTGTAATGATGCACCTGTGTCATTGTGCACTGGTTTGCAACTGATTAAGTGCGCTGGTTTCGTCAGGATATGTTTTACTGTTATGCCTCAGACATTTCATCTTAAAAATTAAGGGATGCAACCTCGTTTGATGAAATTATAATATGTGAAATTTCTTCTGTGATGCAGAAATATCAACTGACCTGGGACCGTGGAATGTGTGAGCACACAAGCTCAAAGAGATGAACAATCAGCTACTGGTCTTTCACAAAGCTAGAAAACTGAACAGTTCACTTCTAGACACATCATAAACAAGGAAAGATTTACTCATCCACGACTGCCTCTAGCCCACGGAAATACAACGATCCTTCCACCAACTTGTGTTGGTCCACTTCTGCAGTTACATACTCAGGTCAGACCACATACCCAGGTCGGACCACATACCTAGGTCGGACCACATACCCAGATCGGACCACATACCCAGGTCGGACCACATACCCAGGTCGCACCACATACCTAGGTCGGACCACATACCCAGGCCGGACCACATACCCAGGTCGGACCACATACCCAGGCCGGACCACATACCCAGGCCGGACCACATACCCAGGTCGGACCACATACCCAGGTCGGACCACATACCCAGATCGGACCACATACCTAGGTCGGACCACATACCCAGGTCAAACCACATACCCAGGCCGGACCACATACCCAGGTCGGACCACATACCCGGGCCGGACCACATACCCAGGTCGGACCACATACCCAGGTCAGACCACATACCCAGGTCGGACCACACACCCAGGTCGGACCATTCTCTGTCTGAGTCCACAATGCCGACTTGACTTTATATGTGGAAACCTAATTGACCTATAGGCAAGACAACGGAATGCAACTCTGCTGACCTGCCTGCTATCACTCACATACCACAACCATGACTTCCAAGGAGATCTCACAACAGGCTACACGAGTGGTCAGCTCAGTGCTAGCAGTCTGTTTCTTTACCAGTTGTGCTGTGATGGGCAGAGTGTCTACCCTCCGCCTGGATGGTTCCTACCCCAGATGCGAACCTATCACAGTCAAGATGTGCAAGGACATGCGCTACAATCTGACCAGGATGCCAAACTTGGCTGGTAAGTCTTGACACTTGACACTTGACACTTGACACTTGACACTTGTCACTTGACACTTGACACTTAACACTTGACATTTTTCACTTGAAACTTGTCACTTGACACATGACACTTGACACATGACACTTATCACTTGACACTTGTCACTTGACACTTGTCACTTGTCACTTGACACATGACACTGGACACCTGTCACTTGACACTTGTCACTTGACACTTGACACATGACACTTGACACTTGACACTTGACACTTGTCACTTGAAGTCTTACCGTTTCTTATCTCTGGCATTTCATTTAAAACTAGCTATTTGTTACAGGAACATTTACATTGTAATGTGTGTTCCTTTGCCTGGGCGTGAGTGTCAGTGTGTTTGTGTCAGTGTGTTTGTGTCATTGTGTTTGTGTCCGTGTGTTTGTGTGTGTGTTTTGTGTTTGTGTGTTTATGTCAGTGTGTTTGTGTGTTTATGTCAGTGTGTTTGTGTGTTTATGTCAGTGTGTTTCTGTCCCTGTGTTTGTGTCAGTGGGTTTGTGTCAGTGTGTTTGTGTGTTTATGTCAGTGTGTTTGTGTGTTTATGTAAGTGTGTTTGTGTCCGTGTGTTTGTGTCAGTGTGTTTGTGTCAGTTTGTTTGTGTCAGTGTGTTTGTGTCCGTGTGTTTGTGTATGTGTGTTTGTGTATGTGTGTGTTTGTGTGTTTATGTCAGTGTGTTTGTGTGTTTATGTCAGTGTGTTTGTGTGTTTGGTTTGTGTCAGTGTGTTTGTGTCAGTGTGTTAGTGTGTTTATGTCAGTGTGTTTCTGTCCGTGTGTTTGTGTCAGTGTGTTTGTGTCAGTGTGTTTGTGTGTTTATGTCAGTGTGTTTGTGTCAGTGTGTTTGTGTCAGTGTGTTTGTATCAGTGTGTTTGTGTGTTTATGTCAGTCAGTTTGTGTCCGTGTGTTTGTGTCAGTGTGTTTGTGTCAGTGTGTTTGTGTGTTTATGTTAGTGTGTTTGTGTGTTTATGTCAGTGTGTTTGTGTGTTTGTGTCAGTCTGTTTGTGTCAGTGTGTTTATGTCAGTGTGTTTGTGTGTTTATGTCAGTGTGTTTGTGTCCGTGTGTTTGTGTCAGTGTGTTTGTGTCAGTTTGTTTGTGTCAGTGTGTTTGTGTCCGTGTGTTTGTGTATGTGTGTTTGTGTATGTGTGTGTTTGTGTGTTTATGTCAGTGTGTTTGTGTGTTTATGTCAGTGTGTTTGTGTGTTTGTGTCAGTGTGTTTGTGTCAGTGTGTTAGTGTGTTTATGTCAGTGTGTTTCTGTCCGTGTGTTTGTGTCAGTGTGTTTGTGTCAGTGTGTTTGTGTGTTTATGTCAGTGTGTTTGTGTGTTTATGTAAGTGTGTTTGTGTCAGTGTGTTTGTGTCAGTGTGTTTGTGTCAGTGTGTTTGTATCAGTGTGTTTGTATGTTTATGTCAGTCTGTTTGTGTTCGTGTGTTTGTGTCAGTGTGTTTGTGTCAGTGTGTTTGTGTGTTTATGTCAGTGTGTTTGTGTGTTTATGTCAGTGTGTTTGTGTCAGTGTGTTTGTGTCAGTGTGTTTGTGTCAGTGTGTTTGTATCAGTGTGTTTGTATGTTTATGTCAGTCTGTTTGTGTTCGTGTGTTTGTGTCAGTCTGTTTGTGTCAGTGTGTTTATGTCAGTGTGTTTATGTCAGTGTGTTTGTGTCCGTGTGTTTGTCAGTGTGTTTGTGTCACTTTGTTTGTGTCAGTGTGTTTGTGTCAGTTTGTTTGTGTCAGTTTGTTTGTGTCCGTGTATTTGTGTCAGTGTGTTTGTGTCCGTGTGTTTGTGTCAGTGTGTTTGTGTGTTTGTGTCCGTGTGTTTGTGTCAGTGTGTTTGTGTCAGTGTGTTTGTGTCATTGTGTGCGTGTGTCCGTGTGTTTGTGTCATTGTGTTTGTGTCAGTGTGTTTGTGTCAGTGTGTTTGTGTCAGTGTGTTTGTGTCAGTGTGTTTGTATCAGTGTGTTAGTGTTAGTGTGTTTGAGTCAGTGTGTTTGTGTCATTGTGTTTGTCTGAAACTCTGTGTCTATCTGTATCCAGCTAGTTATGTTCGTTTCTGTCAGCCTGACTCTGTTTGCTTTGTCTGTCTCTGTTTGATCTCTCTGTCTACCTAAGGTATGTAAGTCTCTATTAGGTTTCATTGTTTGGTCTGTCTGTCTTTTTGTGGTCTGCCTGTCTCTGTTTAATCTGTCTTTCTTTGTTTGGTCTGTCTGTCTCTGTTTGGTCTGTCTGTCTCTGTCTGTTCTGTCTGTCTGTGTTTAGTCTGTCTGTCTCTGTTTGGTCGGTCTGTTCTGTCTGTCTGTGTTTGGCCTGTCTGTCTTTCTTTGGTCTGTCTGTCTCTGTTTGGTCTGTCTGTCTCTGTTTGGTCTGTCTGTCTCTGTTTGGTCTATCTGTCTCTGTTTGGTCTGTCTGTCTGTGTTTGGTCTGTCTGTCTCTGTTTGGTCTGTCTGTCTCTGTTTGGTCTGTCTGTCTCTGTCTGTTCTGTCTGTCTGTGTTTAGTCTGTCTGTCTCTGTTTGGTCGGTCTGTTCTGTCTGTCTGTGTTTGGCCTGTCTGTCTTTGTTTTGTCTGTGTGTCTTTGTTTGGTCTGTCTGTCTCTGTTTGGTCTGTCTGTCTCTGTTTGGTCTATCTGTCTCTGTTTGGTCTGTCTGTCTGTGTTTGGTCTGTCTGGCTGTGTTTGGTCTCTCTCTGTTTTGGCTGCCTGTCTCTGTTTGGACTGTCTATGGTTAGTATCTCTGCCTCTGTTTCTGTCTTTGCCAGATTCTGTCTGTCTTTACAACTGATAAGTATCTGTTTTTGCCCAATTCTGTCTGTTTCTGTGACTAATTTTACCCGTCTTTTAATCTGTTTTTATGGTCATATTAACCTCTGAATGCGGGACTGAGCCTCGAGAGGCAGGGGGTAAGAAGTGTTGGTGTTGTGGGTAGTGGGTCCCCCCCCCCCCCCTTACTTCACCCTAGGTCTAGTGAATATCTGTTCACGAAAGGAGCGTCCATTGTGGTGTCAGCCTCTTGACCTAGCAAAACCTCTCTTACCTCAAGACCATTGTGCGTGGCGAAGAGTCACGCCTCCCCGAGGTAGTCCCGGTAACTGGGGGTGCGAATCCCCAGGCAAAACACAATGGATCTAGAGGAGCAAACCTCGATAATAAACCCGGTGCACCACACCGTACTGCCCCCTGTGGGAGGGAAGGAGCCAGAGGTGTGCTGAACAGTCTTAGGAATGGAAACAAGTATGCTAACCCCCCTGAATACCGGAAACTATCGTGAAGGCACAGGGACTCAGGACGTGACGATCCAGTTGCCCCAACTACTCATGCTTAGGCCATGCTTAGAGACATGAAGAGCTCAGCGAAACCTGCAGGCAATCTGGTGGCGGGGAATGAGCACACTGTGAGCCCCACCTTAGCTACGTGTTAAAGGGAAAGGCAGAAACACAACCCATATTTCCTTTAGAACTGGTACAGGGCATTTCTAGCTGCTGCCCGGGGAGGTAGGTAATCCACAGACACCCCAGCACCACAATGCCATGGGGCCAAAGGGCGAAAGCTCATGCGCCGCTGGATCGATAACAACAACAACAACAACAACCTCTGAATGCATGCCTTTATGTGTAATACACGCCCGGCTCTCTAGCATAGTTGGCTAAACCCGATTGCACGGTGAGCGGGTGACGAACTCCTTGTGGTCCGGGTTCACTCCCGGGGGTAGGCAGAAAAGCCACATTTTCTCCCAGATTTACGATATTTACAATGGAATCAAGGCCGAATGGTTGCGATATCCATAATACCGAGCCTAAGGGTTAACAACTAATGGCTTCTGGATACTAAAACAAACAAACATATGTAATACACACACACTGAGATAAACGCCTGTATATGTAATACACACATACTGGGATAAACGCCTGCATATGTAATACACATGCTAAGATAAACGCCTTTATATGTAATACACACATACTGAGATAAACGCTTTTATATGTAATACACACACACTGAGATAAACGCCTTTATAAGTAATACACACATACTGGGATAAACGCCTGCATATGTAATACACATGCTAAGATAAACGCCTTTATATGTAATACACACATACTGAGATAAACGCCTGTACATGTAATACAAACATACTGAGATAAACGCCTTTATATGTAATACAAACATACTGATATAAACGCCTTTATATGTAATACATACATACTGAGATAAATGCCTGTATATGTAATACACACCTGCTGAGATAAACGCCTATATATGTAATACACATATAGTGAGATAAACGTCTGTATATGTAATACACACGTACTGAGATAAACGTCTGCATATGTAATACACACGTACTGAGATAAACGTCTGTATATGTAATACACACATGCTGAGATAAACGCCTTTATATGTAATACACACATTCTGAGATAAACGCCTATATATGTAATACACACATACTGAGATAAACGCCTTTATATGTAATACACACATACTGGTCTGTCTGTCTCTGTTTGGTCTATCTGTCTCTGTTTGGTCTGTCTGTCTGTGTTTGGTCTGTCTGTCTCTGTTTGGTCTGTCTGTCTCTGTTTGGTCTGTCTGTCTCTGTTTGTTCTGTCTGTCTGTGTTTAGTCTGTCTGTCTCTGTTTGGTCGGTCTGTTCTGTCTGTCTGTGTTTGGCCTGTCTGTCTTTGTTTTGTCTGTGTGTCTTTGTTTGGTCTGTCTGTCTCTGTTTGGTCTGTCTGTCTCTGTTTGGTCTATCTGTCTCTGTTTGGTCTGTCTGTCTGTGTTTGGTCTGTCTGGCTGTGTTTGGTCTCTCTCTGTTTTGGCTGCCTGTCTCTGTTTGGACTGTCTATGGTTAGTATCTCTGCCTCTGTTTCTGTCTTTGCCAGATTCTGTCTGTCTTTACAACTGATAAGTATCTGTTTTTGCCCAATTCTGTCTGTTTCTGTGACTAATTTTACCCGTCTTTTAATCTGTTTTTATGGTCATATTAACCTCTGAATGCGGGACTGAGCCTCGAGAGGCAGGGGGTAAGAAGTGTTGGTGTTGTGGGTAGTGGGTCCCCCCCCCCCCCCCCCTTACTTCACCCTAGGTCTAGTGAATATCTGTTCACGAAAGGAGCGTCCATTGTGGTGTCAGCCTCTTGACCTAGCAAAACCTCTCTTACCTCAAGACCATTGTGCGTGGCGAAGAGTCACGCCTCCCCGAGGTAGTCCCGGTAACTGGGGGTGCGAATCCCCAGGCAAAAACACAATGGATCTAGAGGAGCAAACCTCGATAATAAACCCGGTGCACCACACCGTACTGCCCCCTGTGGGAGGGAAGGAGCCAGAGGTGTGCTGAACAGTCTTAGGAATGGAAACAAGTATGCTAACCCCCCTGAATACCGGAAACTATCGTGAAGGCACAGGGACTCAGGACGTGACGATCCAGTTGCCCCAACTACTCATGCTTAGGCCATGCTTAGAGACATGAAGAGCTCAGCGAAACCTGCAGGCAATCTGGTGGCGGGGAATGAGCACACTGTGAGCCCCACCTTAGCTACGTGTTAAAGGGAAAGGCAGAAACACAACCCATATTTCCTTTAGAACTGGTACAGGGCATTTCTAGCTGCTGCCCGGGGAGGTAGGTAATCCACAGACACCCCAGCACCACAATGCCATGGGGCCAAAGGGCGAAAGCTCATGCGCCGCTGGATCGATAACAACAACAACAACAACAACCTCTGAATGCATGCCTTTATGTGTAATACACGCCCGGCTCTCTAGCATAGTTGGCTAAACCCGATTGCACGGTGAGCGGGTGACGAACTCCTTGTGGTCCGGGTTCACTCCCGGGGGTAGGCAGAAAAGCCACATTTTCTCCCAGATTTACGATATTTACAATGGAATCAAGGCCGAATGGTTGCGATATCCATAATACCGAGCCTAAGGGTTAACAACTAATGGCTTCTGGATACTAAAACAAACAAACATATGTAATACACACACACTGAGATAAACGCCTGTATATGTAATACACACATACTGGGATAAACGCCTGCATATGTAATACACATGCTAAGATAAACGCCTTTATATGTAATACACACATACTGAGATAAACGCTTTTATATGTAATACACACACACTGAGATAAACGCCTTTATAAGTAATACACACATACTGGGATAAACGCCTGCATATGTAATACACATGCTAAGATAAACGCCTTTATATGTAATACACACATACTGAGATAAACGCCTGTACATGTAATACAAACATACTGAGATAAACGCCTTTATATGTAATACAAACATACTGATATAAACGCCTTTATATGTAATACATACATACTGAGATAAATGCCTGTATATGTAATACACACCTGCTGAGATAAACGCCTATATATGTAATACACATATAGTGAGATAAACGTCTGTATATGTAATACACACGTACTGAGATAAACGTCTGCATATGTAATACACACGTACTGAGATAAACGTCTGTATATGTAATACACACATGCTGAGATAAACGCCTTTATATGTAATACACACATTCTGAGATAAACGCCTATATATGTAATACACACATACTGAGATAAACGCCTTTATATGTAATACACACATACTGAGATAAACGCCTTTATATGTAATACACACATGTTGTGATAAACGCCTTTATATGTAATACACACATGCTGAGATAAACGCCTTTATATGTAATACACACATGCTGAGATAAACGCCTTTATATGTAATACACATACTAAGATAAACGTCTTGTATGTAATACACACATACTGAGATAAACGCCTTTTTATGTAATACACACATGCTGAGATAAACGCTTTTATATGTAATACACATACTGAGATAAACGTCTTGTATGTAATACACACATACTGAGATAAAAGCCTTTTTATGTAATACACACATACTCAGATAAATGCCTCTATATGTAATACACACATACTGAGATAAACCTCACATATACTCCACATGTACTCCATATATACTACGCATATACCTCACATATACTACACATATGCCTCCCATATACTCCACATAAAGCTTACTATACTCTACATATACTCCACATATACCTCACATATGCTCTAAATGTACTCCACATATACTACAAATATACCTCACATAGACTCCACATATACTCCACATATATCTCACATATACTCCACAAATACTCCACATATACCTCACATATACTCCACATGTGCTCCATGTATACTACACATATGCCTCACATATACCCCACACATACTCCACATATACCTCACATATACTCCACATATACTTCAGATATACTTCACATATACTCCACATATACTCCACATATACTGCACAAATACTCCACATATACTCCACACATACTTATGTACCTCACATATACTCCACATAAAGCTCACATATACTCCACACATACTCCACATATACCTCACATATACTCCACAAATACTACACATATACTACACGTATACCTCACATATACTCCACATATACTCCGCATATACCTCACATATACTTCATATATACTCCACATATACTCCAGATATACTTTACATATACTCTATATATACTCCACATATACTTCACATATACTCCACATATATTCCACATATACTCCACATATACTTCACATATATTGCACAAATACTCCACATATACTTCACATGTACCTACATGTACCTCACATATACTCCACACATACCGCACAAATACTCATCATATACTCACATATACTTCACATATACTTCACATATACTCCAAATACACTTTACAAATACTTCACATATACTCAACATATACTCCACATATACTACACATATACCTCACATTTACCCCACATATTCTGCACATATATCTCACATATACTTCAAATATACTCCGCATATACTACACATATAGCTCACATATTCTCCCCGTATGGATTTCGGCGCCCTACTATGGGAAAAACAAGAATAGACCCACTGCCTACCCAAAAGCATATCGTAAGAGTCGACTAATTGGGAGCTTCCTTCAGAGTCGGAGTGCATCTGCCTGAAAGGCAAGGAACCAACAGTCTGCATACAGATCTGTCGAACAGATGTACACGCAACACTTAGGTTCTGGAACAGGACTACAGTCCAGAAGTGGATAAACAACCAGAACTTTTCGCCGGACTTTACTGCCGGTGAACGAGAAGAAGAAAATGAAGATACCCCACATATACTCCACATATACTCCACATATTCTCCACATATACCTCACATATACTTTACATATACTGCACATATACTCCACATATACTCCACAAAACCTCACATATACTTTACATATATTCCACATATACTCCACATATAGCGCACATATACTACACATATACCTCACATTTGCTCCACTTATAAAGCACATATACTCCACATATACTCCACATATACCTTACATATGCTGCACAAATACCTCACATATACTTTACATACACTCCACATATACTGCACATATATTGCATGTATACTCCACATAAACTGCACATATACCTCACATATACTGCACATATACCTGACATATACTGCACATATACTTCACATAAACCGCACATGTACTCAACATATACTGTACATAAACTGCACATACACTTCACATATACTCCACATTTACTTCATATATACTAACAAGCATATTCGCTAGTATTATCATGTTCGTACGCTGGACAGAGTCATCCCGCCCCACCTCCCTTCCCACTCCCCTCCCCAGTCCCCACCCTCCATCAGCATAATCAAAACAGAATAAATAGTGGATCGGAATAAGTGTTTAATTGTTACAAATGTAACACTTTGATAACATCCGAGAAAACACTTATGAGCTAGGTTAAATATTGTACTGCAGATTACCCAAACTGAAATGAATCTTCCGCTTCTTCTTCTTCTCTTCCACCATTTACCTCAGCGAGGTGTTGTGGGGAGCTGTAATAATCGTTTGTAGACTTTTCCTAATGCATTGTACACGTTCGTGTTCATTTTGGTTAGATTGCTCTTGATGATGTCGCTCCATATCTTGCCTGGTCTTTCACTTGCTCTGTGTTCATTATATTTCTTCAGCGTGACTCTCTGTGGCAGCTGGTATCAGGGCATTCCCGTCAGGTGGTCAAACCATCTCCTGTGATGTTCTTTAATGAATTGTATGACAGGTTTCAGTCCTAGTCTTCTCCTAATTTCTTCATTTTTGATTTTATTTTTTCTTGTCACACCGGCAGCTTTCCTAAGACATCTCATCTCTGTTGTTACGATCTTCCTTCCGCTCCTTCGTTAAAATGGATATTAGGAAATATCCGTGAAGGTAAAAGTGGCCAGTCTGATGACGCCCACATCGTCCGTCGGTTGCCTATAAAAAGCACCATTTGTCCGATGGGCCACTGACACCAAAATTGTCCCTACAATATGTCATAGAGCCCATGTGTTTGTCTGTCCACAGGTCAAGACAACCAGATTGAGGCTGAGGCTCGAATTCAGGACTTCCTGCCGCTGGTTCAAACAAACTGCTCTCCCTTGCTGAAGTTCTTCCTCTGCTCACTCTACGCGCCAATGTGCACGGAGCTTGTGGGAGAGACCTTGACGATCCCAGCCTGCAAGTCCATGTGCCTCCAGGTGAAGTCCAAGTGTGAGCCGTTGCTGCAGACCTTTAACTTTGAATGGCCGGAAATGCTGGCCTGCGAAAAGCTGCCGGAGAAGTCAGATCCCAGAAACAACCTATGCATGGCGGCGCCCAACGGAACAGGTGAACCGGATCTGGATTCTGGTCCTTTGTTGCGAGCAAGGCTGCAAGATATTCACACAGACCTGGGGAAGCTGGATACTAACTTAGACTGGAGGGCGCTACTCAAGGAAAAGTTTATCAAGAATCCTCACCTGCTGCTCACATCTGACATTGCTAAGGAGAAAGATCCAGTGTCGTTACTCCCGGATCCTTGTCCTCCCAGGTTCGTCTTTGTGGACAACATCCCAAGTTCCAACAACGCATGTGCGCCTCGCTGTGACGTAGATGTACTGTTTAGACATGAGGACAAGAAATTTGCCGAGGCCTGGATAACTGTCTGGGCGTCTCTGTGCTTCGTCTCCACGCTTCTAACGGTTGCTACATGTGCTGTGGACCCTGCCCGGTTCAGATATCCAGAGAGACCAATCATATTCCTGGCAGTGTGTTACTTACTTCAGTCAGTTGCTTACATCATCCGAGCGGCTATAGGTGCCGAGGCTGTGTCTTGTGATACAGCCAAGGACGGAGGACTTTTTGTGATCCAGGAAGGTCTGGAGAACGCCTGGTGTATCATCGTATTTCTCCTTCTCTACTTCTTTGGAATGGCGTCCTGTATTTGGTGGGTGGTTCTGGCGATAACCTGGTTCCTGGCATCTGGACAGAAGTGGGGTCAGCAGGCAATAGAAGGACTGTCCAGCTACTTCCACATGGCAGCTTGGACCATCCCTGCTGTGAAGACAATTATTCTGGTCACCATGAGAAGAGTGGACGGCGACGAGCTGACCGGTCTGTGTTACGTGGGGAATCAACATCCCATGTTCCTGACCTTCTTTGTACTCATCCCTCTTCTTGTTTACCTTCTAGCAGGTCTGGTTTTTATCCTGGCCGGCTTCGCCTCCATGATGCGCATCCGACGCAATCTTAAACAAGATGGCAGCAACGGCAACATCCGCAAGCTGGAAAAACTCATGGCAAAAGTCAGCGTGTACTCCGTCCTCTACACAGTTCCGGCTGTTTGTGTCATCGGCTGTCATTTCTATGAAAGGATCAATTTTGAGCACTGGAGAAAACAAGCAATGAGTTTGTCTTGTCCAGTTCAGGGGAGTTCTCATGCAGCGTCTGAAGACTCTCAGCGATGTCCGCTAGAGCACTCCATCCCCACGTCAGAGATTTACATGCTGAAGCTCTTCATGTCTCTGGTCATTGGAATCACTAGCGGCATGTGGGTCTGGAGCGGCAAGACCGTGAACTCTTGGAGGGGATTCTTCTCTCGGCGACTGTTTCGCCGAAAGACCAACAACTTCCACATCGAATACCGACCCGGACCTCCTGTGATTATGTTGAAGAACAGTCAGTACGGCGGGTCTAAAATTAGCAGTCACGTGGGCAGTCATACAAACACAAAAGTACTGGTGTCTAATGTTTAAGCCGTTGTCATGTGACTGGCGTTTGTAAATACTGTAAACTTTGGACAAGTCGGTGAACCACTTATTGTAAACAAACAATAAATCATTGCGGGTAAATTGGGTTTTGTTTAAATGTTGTGAACAGAAACAATTCCTAATATCTTTAGGAAATCTTGGTGCAGTATCTCGACATGGTGCAGTCATTCATAGATAAGTACAAGGTACTTGCTTACTGACAAGGTGACTGTGGTTCAAATCTACCAATTTGCTGTGTTGTTACCAGCTGCATACAATTTGTGTTCTCCCCCCCCCCTCTCCCCCCCCCCCCCCCCTTTCCACCTCCACCTCCAACCCCCAACGTTCATTAAAAAAATGGTGCTAGAAGAAAGTAGCCACTCATAACAAAATATTGCAGCAGATTTGATCTTGTGTCTGACAACACTGCGGCTCTAGCACTACTTATTAGGTTTATCATGATCCTAGCTAAAAGGAACAGGTAAAGAACATTGAGTTCACCATAAAACGAATTTCTGGGCAGAACCAGCAGATTAAAAAATTCAGAAACAAACTCCATTCTTTTACTGCCACATTTGACAACTCTTTCTGTTGTCAGCCCGTCGACTCCAGATGGATGCAGGATTACGTGAAGAACCTCAGAGATGTAGGTGACTGTGTAGTCTGAGATTTACAGGGGTTTGCATTCACTGTGACATAGTTGCCTTGTTGGCATTTCTCTACATGTCCACGCAACTCGTAGATATTCAGTTTGGTCAGTAGTTACCACAACTGGCTGTGCAGAAGACAATCCCCAAGAACATGCTCAGACGTTCTGTTCTTTAGTTCGCACGTGTGTAGAGGTGCAGCAGAAGAACGCCGACTATCTGTGTGTTTATTGTGTGGATCTTCTCTCTCGATTTGAAACATGGCGATGCGTCCCTTGAAACCAGGTGTATAAAAGATGTGGGTTTTTAACCTTTTGGTCCAGATGATTCTATGTTTGAGGTGATCCAGATGCTGAAACTATGGACGCCCTGGAGTCTGAAGCTCGAGGACGTGAACGTCTTGCCGTGGTTCTTGTCACTGCAACTGTTGCACCGGACGTCTTGCCGTGGTTCTTGTCACTGCAACTGTTGCACCGGACGTCTTGCCGTGGTTCTTGTCACTGCAACTGTTGCACCGGACGTCTTGCCGTGGTTCTTGTCACTGCAACTGTTGCACCGGACGTCTTGCCGTGGTTCTTGTCACTGCAACTGTTGCACCGGACGTCTTGCCGTGGTTCTTGTCACTGCAACTGTTGCACCGGACGTCTTGCCGTGGTTCTTGTCACTGCAACTGTTGCACCGGACGTCTTGCCGTGGTTCTTGTCACTGCAACTGTTGCACCAGACCACGAGAAAGCTTAAGATTGTTGTGTGTACCCAAATCCGCTGGAACTTGATAACCTGGATTTGTAGACACAGGGATAGGTGGTTTTAAAAGTGTGTGTAGAAAAGTAGACAAGAAAGAAAGAACGAAAGAAAAAGAAAGAAAGAAAAGAAAGAAAGAAAAGAAAGAAAGAAAGAAAGAAAAGAAAGAAAGAAAGAAAGAAAGAAAGAAAAGAAAGAAAGAAAGAAAGAAAGAAAGAAAGACAGAACAGAAGAACGAAGAAAGAAAGAAAAAGTAAGAAAGAAAGAAAGAAAGAAAAGTAAGAAAGAAAGAAAGAAAGAAAGAAAGAAAAGAAAGAAAGAAAGAAAGAAACGAAAGAACAAGAGAAAGAAGAAAGACCAGAAAGATTTAAGAAAGCAAAGAAAGAAAGAAAGAAAATCTTAGATAAAGCAAAGAAAGAAAGAAAAGAAAGAAACGAAAGAAAAGAAAGAAAGAAACGAAAGAAAGAAAGAAAGAAAGAAAGAAAGAAAGAAAGAAAAGAAAGAAAGAAAGAAAGAAAGAAAAGAAAAGAAAAGAAAAGAAAGAAAGAAAGAAAAAAGAAAAATCCTAGAAAGAAAGAAAGAAAGAAAGAAAGAACGAAAAAGAAAGAAAGAAGAAAAGAAAGAAAGAAAACTCCGAAAGAAAGAAAAGATGTCAATTGAAAGAAAGCAAGAAACCTTTACGAAGAAAGAAAAGAAAGGAAGAATAAGAAGGAAATAGAAGAAGCTAGGAAAAAAGTTGGAAGAAGGAAAAAGAAACAGAAAAAGGAAGAAAAATAGGAAGCAGAAGAAGAAAGAAGGAGGAAAAAGAAGAAGAGAAAGAATAAAAAGAAGAAGAAGAGGAAGAAGAAGAAGAAAAGGAGGAAGAAGAAGAAGAAAACAGAAAAATGAAGAAGAAGAAGAAGAAGAGAAGAAGAAGAAGAAGAAGAAGAAGAAGAAGAAGAAGAAGAAAGAAGAAGAAGAAGAAGAAAGAAAAAGAAGAAAAGAAGAAGAAGAAGAAGAAGAAGAAGAAGAAAGAAGAAGAAGAAGAAGAAGAAGAAGAAGAAGAAGAAAGAAGAAGAAAAAGAAAAGAAGAAGAAGAAGAAGAAGAAGAAGAAGAAGAAGAAGAAGAAGAAGAAGAAGAAGAAGAAGAAGAAAAAGAAGAAGAAAAAGAAGAAGAAAAAGAAGAAGAAAAAGAAGAAGAAGAAGGAGAAGGAGAAAGAAAAAAAATGCATGTTGACTGGTGAATCGGTCCATTCTTTTCCAGGACTGATCTCGTCTAGGTCACATACTTCCTTGATTAGATTTTCTGCCTCAGCCATCCCAGATGAGCCTTTCCTAAGGCATCCCTTTTAGTTGATTGATAGCGTTGTGCAGTGCGTGGTGGACGTCTGCTGATGTCCTTATGTACGCTTTCGCCTGTGCCAGTTTATGTCTGGTGGCCATCGTCGGTAAACCCAGGACATACCGCATGGTCTGGCACGGAGGTGTTTTTTATGGCCTTATTTCGATACTGGTCCAGTCTTTTTAGCTGGGTTCTGTTGATAGTGAGGAGGCCCAAGACGTATTCTATAACACTTAACACACGTCCCTGAAAAAGCAGGAACAGTAGTTATTATTCAGTTTCGACGTATGCCATTGCCTTCGTCGTCGCCAAATCTTTCCTGGCTCTAACTATTACACTGTCTACATGGTTCTTGTATGACAAGTATCTGTCGAAAGTGACGCCAAGGTATCTCATTATGTTAGCTCTATCGATGTCTATACCTCACATGCTCACGACTAGCGTAGGTGTGTTGACAGTGTGGGTATTCAAGGAGAACTTTTAAAAGGAAGCCTTCGTCGGGTTAACCTGTATGCTAGATGCCTGGCACCACTAACTGAGTCGGTCTACCTCATGCTGTAGCGTTGTTGTAAGTTCATTCCTATTGTTTCCTTGCTGGTACACAAGGATATCATCTGCGAACGACACTGTTCTGCCCAGACCTACTATCTGTGCACTGGTGACTAATGAAGTGTACACATTAAAAAAGAACGGGAGACAGTGGTGATCCCTAGTGCAACTCATTAAGACGCGTTAAGGTTTCGATGCCTACGTACCGCATCTCATTGATACTGTTCCTTCGAAGAGCGCTGCAGCGATCCAGTTGACGCATTTCGTCTCTCTGTGCATATCCATCATCAATCTGATGTGCTTATTGTATGGAACGCTGTTGAATACGTCTTCTATGCCAACGGCTTTGGCAGTTTCCATTTCTGCTTGGAAACCCTCATAAGTGTCGTAAGCAAATACTGCCGCATTGCACCAGGTATCTTTGCCCGGGCGGTACCCACCTAGTGTAGGTGCCAAAAGACCACTCGACTCTAATTTGAAATAAACTTTCTGGCCAGGATTTTCTCCATGAGGTTTCCAACTGTGTTCTGAAGTGTGATAACTCTGTAGCCCGTTTACATGTTCGTGATCTTTCCCAGGCTTAGGTCTGAGGTAGTTGTGAAGCCAGTCATTGGGGAATATGCCGCTATTGTTGCTCTTGTTAAATGTCCTGCATAGTTGCGTTGTGTCAGTTTCCTTGAGGCATTTGAAGTCATTTTATCTGATGCCATCGGACCCTGGGGCTTTGTCAGGGCTGGTCTTCAGTATAGCTCTGACGTTTGCTACGGAGATGTACACTGTGTCATCTTATCTATCCTTTTCAGCGATATGCATGTCGTGGTCTGATTGTTTCATCTGCTTCCTCTCGTCTCTGTCTGTCTTTTCGGTTTGCAGGAGAAATCTGTGCATCAGTCTTCGTCAGATCTTAAGATCACCCCACTGTTAATCTTTAATTCGGGCCTATTACTCGATTGTTTGCCGCCGTTCATTCTCTGGGGAAGTCGCAAGAATTTGGAAAGGGATTTTTCGCACCCTGTTTCACTGCAAAATGTCTCCCATGTGGTGTGCTTAGCCTCCCTCGCGGTTTGTTTAAAGTGTTCAGTGAGGCAATCTTTTCTTTCTTTTCGTATCTTGTTTGTGAGCATCAGACTGTCTTGAAGATTTTCTGCATTTCTCCCATTCTTTAGTGGCACTGTTTCTCTGTCCATGCCGTGGTAACTTCTGGTGTCCACCATGGGGGTTGTTGATACACATCTTCCTTACTCCCTGGTGTTCTGCGTACCCTGTCTCTTAAATACCCAGTTGCATCAGTCTGGTACTTTGAACTGGCATCTGATTTCTGGGATCTTGTACGTGTTATATCCTTGATCAAAATCGAGCATGGAAGGTGGTCGTTTCCATGATGCCCTAGTGCACCCCAGTGACAGCGAGCACTCATGCTGTCGGAGACTAGAGCCAGATCGCTGTCAGTATCGCCTTCTCTGTCAGGGATTCTAGTGGATCTGCCATCATTCAAGCAGGTTAGCTCTGTGTCTGCTACTACCTCCTTCAATGCCTCAGCCTGTTTTTTGACAGTGGTGTTTTTCCATAGTCGGCCCCTGGTTGGAAGTCGCCACACATGATGATGTTGGTGTTTAACTGATGGCATATTTCAGTTAGGACTCTCCACTTTTCTGTATCTACCTTCAATTCTGTATTTGTGTGGTATTGTTCGATTTGTTTTTGTGATGATGAAGGCTCTATAGCCGCAACGTTTAAGTTTTGTTTGTATTTGTTATATTGTGAAGCTTGCTTATATACTTTTTCGTTCGGTTTTATATATTTCCTTATTATTACAGGCAAAGTTGTTGACTAAAGTGAGGGGTTTGCTTTCGTCTATCTTTACTCCGTGCACCTGAATGTCGTCGTTGCTCCAGGCGCTCGTGTATAGAGCTGACGATTGTATCCCACACCTGACAATGATGGCCTGACCCAAGTGTCTGCTGTTGTGATAACTTTGAAAGCCAGAAACTTGTAGAACTTCCTCGTAATGTAACCGGGTCTCCTGAAGCGCAGCCATGTGACATGGCGTCGTGTATTTATTTCTCCTATTTCTCCCACATGTTGACACGCGTATGTTATTGATGTACAAATGTTATCATTTTTCTTACGCATAACATTAGCCTTATGTTTCAGGAAACATATGAATAACATACTATTGTCATGCATATATGCATACATACACTTACACACACTAGTAATAGTTGTGACAACAATTAATAATAATTGACAGTTACTCCTACATCAAAGTAGAGAGGGAAGAGGAACATGTACACACACACACACACAAATACAGAGATAAAGAGGAGAGTGAGAGAGAGAGAGAGAGAGAGAGAGAGAGAGAGAGAGAGAGAGAGAGAGAGAGAGAGAGAGAGAGAGATCCTTGAGATGCGAGATCAAACAAAAGAAGCAGATCTGTAAAGCGAATGTGCACGCAAAACGTGAGTTCTTGAGCAAGCAAAGTTCAGAAGTGGACGAACAGCCAGATCTTTCCACCGGTGTTTAAAGCCGATGATGGCGAAGGAGAAGAGGATTTCTTAGATATAAGATGGCGCAAGAATGTGAAATGTGTGAAACAGAAGGCTAAAAGATATTAAATCAAGTAATGTGAATTGAAAAAAAAACTTGAAATGTCTTCTGTTATCTTTACACCGTAAGTCTGTTAGCAAGTGCACTTCTTTGTAAGTCAGTCTGTGTGGCTGTCTGTCTGTATACTTGTCTGCCTTCCTCACACAGTATATGTCTGTTCGCCATTCTTTGGCTGCTTTTCTAAATCTCTCAGTGGCTTCTCCCACCGCCCTTCACCTGCGGCCACTTGGGTCAAACTTCAAAGAAGTAAACTGTATCTGTCCCAATCTCTCTCCGGCGCTGTTTCACCCAAGTTAAACAAACTGGGACAACAAGGAGAGTTTGGCCGTCCGTTGGTTAAACATCAATTCACACTAACGGATTCCGTGACCTCGAGCTGGAGGCTCCGCACAGCAAACGGGATAATCGCCCATGGATTGTCTCTGTCAACAAAGACGGTCTTCCCTGGGCCTAACCTCGGATGTTTCAGATACTCTCAGTCATTGGACAAGGTGTCTCAATCTGGTGCTGAAAGCCCTCACTGGTTTCATCTCGCCCATCTCAGCCTGGTCCTCTTGTGCCTGCTTGTGTTCTGCTAGAGCATCACCAGTGAAGAGGGTTCTAAAGTGTGCTTCCGTTAGAGCAAAGGTTCTTAAACTATGGGTCACGACCTTTGTTTGGGTCTTACGACCCTTTCACAGGGGTCGCCTAGGACCATCGTAAAACACATATTCATTGAAGTTATAAAGGAAAATAATTGTTTGAGGGTCGCCCAACATGAGGGAACTGCATTAAAGAGTCACCACAACATGAGGGAACTGCATTAAAGAGTCACCACAACATAAGGGAACTGCATTAAAGAGTCACCACAACATGGGGGAACTGTATTAAAGAGTCACCACAACATGGGGGAACTGCATTAGAGGGTTGCCACAACATGGGGGAACTGCATTAAAGGGTCGCCACAACATGAGGGAACTGCACTAAAGGATCGCCATGACTTGAGGAAACTGTATTAAAAGTTATGAAGGAAAATATTTGTTTGGGGGTCGCCCAACATGAGGGAACTGCATTAAAGATCACCACAACATGGGGGAACTGCATTAAAGGGTTGCCATAACATGAGGGAATTGCACTAAAGGGTCGCCACAACATGAGGGAACTGCACTAAAGGGTCGCCACAAACATGAGGGAACTGTATTAAAGGGTCGTTACAACATGAGGGAACTGTATTAAAGGTTCGCCACAACATGAGGGAACTGTATTAAAGGGTCGTCACAACATGAGGAAACTGTATTAAAGGGTCATCAAAACATGAGGGAACTGTATTAAAGGTTCGCCACAACATGAGGGAACTGTCTTAAAGGGTCGTCACAACATGAGGGAACTGTATTAAAGGTTTGCAACAACATGAGGGAACTGTATTAAAGGTTCGCGACATTTTAAAGGTTGAGAGCCAATACTTTAGAGAGATACCCGCAGGCTCTTAATCTCTGTCGGTTGTGTGTTTAAACCTTTCTGTCACAGAGGCAACATAGACCATTCTGTGGTTTAAAATATCTTCAACTTCAGACGTCAACCTGAACACACTTAAAGGTAGACATCTCCAGAGAGTGTATCCAGAAATGAAGCGTGCCTAGGTCCAATAATTACATTTTCAGGGCTATTATTTGCCACTTTACAAAGCAACATGTGAATTCATACCGCAAACAGGCCTTCTTTTTTTTCTTTGTCGTCGTCTTTTTCTACTTCTACTTCTTCTGCTGCTACTCCTTCTGTTGCTGCTTCTTTGCATTCACCAGCTGTAAACTCCAGGGGAAAGTTTAGTTTCTTGCCCACTTCTGCGCAAATCAGTTTTAAGATGTGGCTTGCCTGTATGCAGACTATTGGTTCCTAGCCTTTCAGTATTGCAACTTAGTTTGACATGCGTTTTAGTTAGGGAGACAGTGGGTCTTTTCTCATTTGTCCCAGAATGGGACCTCGAAACCCACACGGGGAGGGAGTAGATCAAAATAAAGTGTCACTTTTTACGTAACTGTATGTTTTAGAAATGTTAATGTTGAAATGTGAAGTTCTCGAAATAAGAATTTGGAATCAGGCGTCGGGCAAACAATATACAACCAGCTCTAGACGTCACCAGACATTTAAAAAAAAGGTATGCAGCCTAGGGGGACAAGTTGGGAACCGCTGTTGAAGGAATGCGAACCCTGTGTTGCAAGTCGTTCTACTTGATCGCTTCTAACCCGCGGATCGCATTTCGGATGGGCGTCTTTACCAAGATAATGGAATCCAAACAGGCTCCACATTTGTCTGTCTCCCTGCATCCCTGCTCGTCTATCCTAGAATAAACAGCCTTAGTCTTTCTACAACACAGGCCCTGGCATTGACTTGAAACAGGGCGGCCATATACACTAGGTCATAGGTCACAGGTTCATGGAATGGGGTGAGTGGAACAGTTTGTGAAAACTTTTCCTCAGGAAGAAAGCAGAAACAAACGATAACGACCATGCCTAGGATTCTTAACTTTCTGTAGAGAAAACACTTCTCCTTTATTTCTTGATCATCTTCCTATCTTGGAAGTCAGTGACGATACTTAGCGCGTTTATAATAATAATAAGGTCTGGTCTTACTGTTACCTTTCCTTTGGTGTAAACAATGCAGGCCGAGTGATGCACGGGCAACATATGTTCTCTACAATACTGTCCAGACTTTGTGCTATCCAGGGGAGGATCTTCATCCCTGGTCCTAATTCACGCCCCAGAGTGTGAGTCCCATGCCTCCTCTTCTCATTGCACACAACAACATTGTCGTATGGAAAGAGGGAAAGGTGCCAACAAGGACGACAACAATAGAAAGGACCAGCCTAGACTGTAGACCTCCTCGTATTCAGTCATCGGTGAAGATCAGTCTGGCAACGTTAGCTCCCAAACACATTCCTAGACACTAGTGAAGGTTTCTTCATCATCCCATTGACCGGCTGGCAACTGTGCGGAAGTTTCTGGATTCGTCAACTTCTGAACTGAGGCTGGCGGGCACATCTGTTTTACACATTTAGTTTATATGCTTACAGACTGTTGGTTCCTGGTCTCTCAGGAAGACTCACTCAGACTTATAAGCATATAACGCTAATTCGGGTTTGTACGGCATGCTTGTCGGGGGTGGGGAGGTTGGGTGTAACTGCCCCTTCCTGCCCTCACCCCAATAAAGCCCCAGAACTCACACTGGCCGGATAGGATTTGAACTATTACCACCCAGCCAGCAGTTTGACCAGCATCCGTCTGTGCTACCACCGGACAGTTGAACAAACAAACGCAGCACGGTGTAGTTGTACACTTGTAGAGAACAGATACAATCAATATGGGCGTGCTAGCACAAAGAAAAGTATAACATTGGGCTGGAGCGGAAGGGAGGGTTGCATACATGCTTAGGCTCCCGGCAGACAGATTTCTTAGGTTAAAACGGAGGCGGCACTCACGGAACCTTATCCTAGTTTAAGTGCATAATTGTGATGGTGATGAGCTGAATGCTAAATAAATATGCAATAATGTGAAATGTATGGAGAATCTAACAGATAATGACCACAAGTGGCTGCACTATGCTGCTTGACCTCCTTACATATTTGTTTGTGTGGGGAGTGGGGGTCCCCAAACTCCCCCCCCCCCCCCCCCAGGCCCAACAGCCTTACCTTTGTATTATTCTTTCTTGTAAGGTCTTTACATATTTCACCGGAAGAAGTAAATTCACAGTCGCAATTTTTCTCGGCTGAATGCGTACCAGCACTGGACACTTAATTACCTCCAAGCCTGTACATTTATTTCAGTCAGCAGCTGCCACTTCACTAGATTGTCTTTACCCTGCTCTGAATTTCGCTTCCATCTTGTCGTCAACTGTTGTACATTATTTCCAACTTTTAAAACTAACCACATTACTTTAATGCGAAACCGACCG